CTACCATCACGTTTCACTCATTGAGAGATCAATGACCAGGTGACACCAATCGGGCTCTGATGCCTCCATCTGGGCTCTGGGTGACAGATCTAAATCCAGGTGCGACGTCGATATTATAAGCATAGCCAGAGCAACCACTACCACCAGCAGCTTTCGCGCAGCAGTAGGTGGCGGTGTCCTCAGCCCTGAGGTTGTTCAGCTGCAGCCTCACTGTGCTCTGCCCGTTGTCCCTGGAGATGGTGGCACGGCCCTGCACCGCCGGCGCGTAGTCTGTGCTGCTACCAGTGCTGTGAATACCAGCGACCCACTCCAGCCCCTTGCTGGGCGCCTGTCGCACCCAGTACATCTCATAACTGCTGAAGATGAATCCACTGAGATCTCAGAGAGAAAGCATTGAGTTCCCTGGGACAAGTCACTGAGGTACCATAGAGACCCCACAGAGATTCTAATCAGATTTGTTGGAAGACTCCTTCAGTCCCCATGGAGAGTCCATTGAGACGTTATAGAGACTGATAGAGACCACACACAGACCCAAAAGTGACACAACTGGGGCCCCATTCAGGCTTGGGCCCACGGGGAGATGCAGCCAAGAGGAGGAGGAAGGAGGTGCAAGGGTTAATGGTGGAGAAGGTCAGGGAGAAGGAAGTCAGGGCTGGTTTTGTTCCTATGAGATCCACACAGATGGCATTCCGGATGGGCTCAGCCTCATCTGCAAGGCCTCCAAGGATTCACCTTCAGCAGTGTTGGCATGAATTGGGTGCGACAGGCACCCGGCAAGGGGCTGGAATTCGTTGCCAAAATTAACAAGGATGGTGGTAGCACAGCATACGGGGCGGCGGTGCAGGGCCGTGCCACCATCTCGAGGGACAACGGGCAGAGCACAGTGAGGCTGCAGCTGAACAACCTCAGGGCTGAGGACACCGCCACCTACTGCTGCTGCACGAAATATGCTGGTAGTGGTAATTCGGGTGCTGCTGGTGATTATGGTCGGGGTCAACACACTGGTTGGATCGTCATCTCTTCTGCAATCCTGCTCTCAAGCACAGCCACGTGTGGGAACCCAGCTCTGCGTGTGGGGCAGAGCAGCTCACTGACCCCCAGCTCCCTGTGTTGATGCCCAGCATCTCTCTGGCATAAGGAGTTTCCCCCTACATCCAACCTAATCCTCCTGGTGCAACGTGATGCCATCATCTGCCATCCTAATGCTTCTCACGGAGCAGAGCTGACCCCGCTCACCCCAAGCTCCTCTCGGGGTCACAGCTTCACAGCTGAGCTCAGCTCTGAAACGCGGACCCAGCTCAGCACATTCTGGGCTGGGTTCTGTCATTGGTGGGCGAGGTCAGGCCCTGCACCGCCGACACGTAGGATGTGTAACTCCCAGCACCACAAATACCTGCGACGAATTCCAGCCCCTTGCCAGGTGCCTGTCGCACCCAGAGCATATCCAAACTGCTGAAGGTGAATCCGGAGGCCTTGCAGACGAGGCTGAGCCCTCCTCCGGGGGTCTGGAGGGATCTCATAGCACAAAACCAGCCCCCACCTCCTCCACTGCCAACTTCACCACCGTCAGCACTTGTGCCTCTCTCCTCATCCATTTGAGAGTTCTTCCGCCCATCCAGCTGGGCCCTGACTTCTTTAGGTCTCTTTAGGGTCTCTATGAGGTCTCAGTGGGTTTTCGTTGGGTCTCCATGAGGTTTGAATCCAATCTCACAGGGGACACTGAGAGGTCTCAATGATTTCTCTGAGGGAAAACCACTTTCTATGAGGTCTCTATCAGAACTATATTGGGTCCCTGCAGGGTCTCTATGGGGTTTCAAATGGGATCGCTCAGGATCTTTATGACATTGCAGTGTGTCTCAGTGTGGTCTCAGAGTGGCCTGGCTGCAAGAGGCCACGTGTTGGTGGTGCCATCAGCGCCGTCTGTCCTTCTCCTCAGGGCTGATGGCGGCCGTGACGTTGGACGAGTCTGGGGGTGGCCTCCAGGCACCCGGAGGAGGGATCAGCCTCGTCTGCAAGGCCTCTGGATTCACCTTCAGCAGTTTCCAGATGGACTGGGTGCGACAGGTGCCTGGCAAGGGGCTGGAATACGTCGGAGGTATTGACAGTGCTGGTACTGGCACATGGTACGCGCCGGCGGTGAAGGGCCGTGCCACCATCTCGAGGGACAACGGGCAGAGCACAGTGAGGCTGCAGCTGAACAACCTCAGGGCTGAGGACACCGCCACCTACTGCTGTGCAAAATGTGCTGGTAGTGCTGGTGGTTGTTGTAATGCTTACGCCATTGGTGTTGGTTTTAGTGGTTGTTTTAGTTTTAGCCGAGATTGAGAGATCAGGGACAAGTGATGGAGCTGAGAACAGAATGGACAGAACTCGGACCAAATCTGCTGCAGTGAGCAGAGTGATGGAACTGGTCACCAAAATGTCAGAAAATGTGATGGTGATGGATATGGATAAGGATACGGTAATGCGGCTGGTCATGGTTGTGGCCACGGTTATGGAAATGTGTGTGGATATGGATGTGTATGGATATGGAAATGCTGATGGTGATGGTAATGGAGACAGTCTTGTAAGGGACAAAAATTCATTGCCCACAGCACAGAGCTCTGCTGCCCAGATGGAACCTTCCCAGATGCAGACGAAGACGTGTCCCTGCGATATCAGTGCCACCAGGATTGTAACCACCATAACCATAACCACTAGAACAATCATCACCATCTTTGGCGCAGCAGTAGGTGGCGGTGTCCTCAGCCCTGAGGTTGTTCAGCTGCAGCCTCACTGTGCTCTGCCCGTTGTCCCTCAAGATGGTGGCACGGCCATCCACTGCTGCCCCATATTTTGTGCTACTACCAGTGCTCCAAATACCGGCGACCCACTCCAGCCCGTTGCCGGGTGCCTGTCGCACCCAGAGCATGGGGTAACTGCTGAAGGTGAATCCAGAGGCCTTGCAGACGAGGGTGATCCCTCCTCCGGGCATCTGGAGGCCACCCCTGGACTCATTCAATGTCACAGCTGCCATCAGGCCTGTGGGGAAGGACAGACGGCGCTGACGGAGCTGCCGACACACGGCCTCGTTCAGAAGGGTCCCAATGAGGACCCCATAGAGACTCATAGAGATGCCTTTCAGATGCCATGAGAACGTTGCAGAGTCTTCACTGAGATTCCACGGACATCCCTCATGGAACCCACAAAAATTATTCATGGAGATCCCCTTTAGATCCCACACAAACCCCACCAGTGTCTCATGGAACTCATAGAAATAATTCGTAGAGATCCCCTTCAGATCCCACACAAACCCCACCAGTGTCTCACAGAATCCCCATAGTGACCCCAGTGAGGCCCCTCTGAGACCAGGGCCCACCTGGAGGAGTGGCCAAGAAGAGGAAGGATGTGTGAGGGCTGATAGAGGCGAAGCCAGTCGAGAACGAGATCTTGGCTGCCCCTCCAGCTGGGTTCTGGCCTCACTTGATCTTCAGTGGGGTCCCTATGGGGTCTGCATGGAACATCAATGGTGTCCCTATGGGGTCTCTGAAGGGACTCTACGGGATCTCTGAGAGGCACCAATGGGTTTTGCATGGGATCTGAATGTGCTCTTGATGGGATCTGAATGATGTCCTTGTGGTCTCTACGGTCTCCCTTTGGGATCTCTAAGGGGTCCATATGGGATCACAGTGGAGTCTCTGTGTGACATCTATGGGGTCCCTATGGGTCTCCATGGGATACCTATGGTGTCTCTTGGGGTTTCTATGGGTCTCAGTGTGCTCTCAATGAGGCCTGGCTACATGAGGCCGTGTGTCGGCAGCTCCGTCAGCGCTGTCTGTCCTTCCTTCTCCACAGGGCTGATGGTGGCCGTGACGTTGGATGAGTCTGGGGGCGGCCTCCAGGCACCCGGAGGAGGGATCAGCCTCGTCTGCAAGGCCTCTGGATTCACCTTCAGTGATTATGCCATGTACTGGGTGCGACAGGCACCAGGCAAGGGGCTGGAATTCGTCGCAGGTATTAGGGATGATGGTAGTGACACATCCTACAGGGGAGCAGTGGATGGCCGTGCCACCATCTCGAGGGACAACGGGCAGAGCACAGTGAGGCTGCAGCTGAACAACCTCAGGGCTGAGGACACCGCCACCTACTGCTGTGCAAAATGTGCTGGTAGTGGTAGTGGTTGTGGTTCTACTCACGCTGTTGTTTTTAGTGGCGTCACCCACAGCCCAGATTGAGAAATCAGAGCCCAAGCGGTGGAGCTGAGCCCAGAATGGACAGAACTCAGCCCAAATCTGCAGCAGTGAGCACACAGTGATGGGACTGATGACAGAAACGTCAGACAATGTGATTGTGATGGATATGGATGCGGTGATACGGATGGTCATGGTTATGGTCATGGTTGTGGCTGTGTGTATGGATAAGGAAATGCTGATGGTGATGGTAATGGAGACAGTCTGGTTGGGAACAAAAATTCTTTTTCCCCAGCACCGAGCTCTGCAGCCCAGATGGAACCTTCCCAGATGCAGATGAAGACATGTCCCTGTGACGTCTGTGTCACCACCAGCAGCAACACCCCAACAAGCAGAAGCACAGTCATAGCCATCAGCATTTTTCGCGCAGCAGTAGGTGGCGGTGTCCTCAGCCCTGAGGTTGTTCAGCTGCAGCCTCACTGTGCTCTGCCCGTTGTCCCTGGAGATGGTGGCACGGCCCTTCACCGCCGTCCCGTAGTTTGTGTAACTACCAGCACTGTTAATACCTGCGACGTATTCCAGCCCCTTGCCTGGTGCCTGGCGCACCCAGTACATGCCAAAACTGCTGAAGGTGAATCCGGAGGCCTTGCAGACGAGGCTGATCCCTCCTCCGGGTGCTTGGAGGCCGCCCCCAGACTCGTCCAACGTCACGGCCACCATCAGCCCTGTGGGGAAGGAAGGACAGACAGCGCTGACGGAGCTGCCCACACACGGCCTCGTGCTGCCAAGCCCCACTGAGACCCTTCTCAGACCTATTGAAACCCCCTACACACTCCGTACAGATCTCATCGAGAGGCCATTGAGAGTCCATACAAACCCCATTCACGCCCCATAATCTCTCCATTGAGAGCACATCCAGATCTCATGGAGACCTCTTTGAGATTTCATAGAGACACCACTGAGAGCCCACAGAGACTCAGCACGGATCCCATCAAGACCCACTTCAGATCCCATCGAGCCCCCATTCACATCCCATCGAGACCCCAGAGTGATCCCATGGTGATTTCAGTGTGATTCCAGAAGTGACGGTGCTGGAGATGGATGCAGTGATGGAGACGGTGATGGTTATGGCTGTGTATATGGACATGGAAATCGATATTTACATGGATATGGGTATGGCAGTGGGGCTGATGGTGGTGACAGAGCCCATGTGTGGGGGCTCAGTGGGCCCTCAGTGGGGTCTCTAAGAGGTATTCACGAGGCAGTAAAGGCATTTGTTAGGGATCTGTATGGGGTCTCCATGAATTCTCAGTGGGTTCTCCATGATGCCTCCATGAGATCTGCATGGCATCTCAGTGAGGTCTCAAGGGGACATTTAGGTGGTCTTTAGAGGGTCTCTATGAGCCTCAAAAAGTCTCCATGAGCTCAGGGCTGATGACACTGCACTGCACAAATGTGCTGGATGTGCAGGCGATTGTGAGGATGCTTACGGCATGGATCAGCCCAGACTGAGAGATCAATGCCCAGGTGACATCAATCGTGCTCTGACGTCTCCATCCGGGCTCTGGGTGACAGAACAAAATCCAGGTGCGACGTCGATACGATAAGCACAACCATAGCAACCACTGCTACAAGTGGTCTTCGCGCAGCAGTAGGTGGCGGTGTCCTCAGCCCTGAGGTTGTTCAGCTGCAGCCTCACTGTGCTCTGCCCGTTGTCCCTCGAGGTGGTGGCACGGCCATCCGCTGCTGCCCCGTAGATTGTGCTACCACCAGTGTTCCAAATACCTGCGATGAATTCCAGCCCCTTGCCGGGTGCCTGTTGCACCCAGTCCATCTCAAAACTGCTGAAGGTGAATCTGGAGGTTTTGTAGACGAGGCTGATCCCTCCTCTGGCACCTGGAGGCATCTCAGTGCCACCTCACATGGTTCTGACCTCCTCTGTGTGCCGCTGGTTCTGCTGGTCCAAGCGCAGGTGGCACCGCCGTTTCCTGTGGTCTTTTGTTCCCACCCAGAGCCCAGCACAGCCCTCACACACACACTGCCCTGCCCCAGAAATGGGCTCCATCCCCAGACCCACTCAGGGACTGGGATTCCCTGCAGCACTTTGAGGATTCTGAGAGCTCGAGGCCGAAAACTCCTCGACCACCCTCACCCCCAACCCTTGGCACCAGCTCTGTGCCCCCTTTTTCTCTGAGCGTCCCCAGGGTGGGACTGCATGACCTGGGGCTGCTGTGCAAAGCCTGCAGAGCCATCATCAGAGCAGTCACCACAACCAAATCCATAACCAATTCCCATAATATCCTTGGGATGAAATGGGAGGTGTTTCTAAGAGTCTTGGTATTTCTGTGAGAAAATGTCTTGTTTTGGGCAGAAACTTTCATCAATCTGTGAGAAAGCTATGTTTCTTGAAGAAAATGTCTTCTTTTGGGTGGAAAAGTTCATATCTGTGCAAGGAAGCCGGTATTTCTGTGACAAAATGCCGTGTTTGCAGGAAAAAAAAATGTATTTCCAAGATAATGGGTCGCATAGTTAGGAGAAAACTGGTCTATCTGGGAGAAAAGGCCACTGTGATGGGAGTAAGTGTGATCTTGAGGAGCGTCAAGTAGTTTTCTTGGGATGAAACGTGAGGTATTTCTAAGAGAAGCGGTATTTCTGGGAGAAAATGTCTTGTTTTGGGGGGAAACGTTCCTAGATCAGTGAGAAAACAGTGTTGCTTGGAGAAAATGTCTTCTTGTGGGTGGAAATGATCGTATCTATGCGAGAAAGCTGGTATTTCTGGGAGAAAATGTCCTTGTTTTTTGGTGGAAGAGAGGTTTAGGGGACTCGAATAGTGTTCCTGGATGACAATGTGACGTCTTTGTGAGCAAAGTGGTATTCCTGAGGGAAAATATCCCAGATTTGGGATAGAAAGAATCTATCTGTGATCAAATGACCATGACCACAGACACAGCCATCTCCACATCCATCGTCATATCCATAACCATCATGATAGCCATGACCACAACCATCACCGTCACCACCTCCATCTCAACCTCCTCCACCACCACGCACGGCACAGCAGTTGGTGGCACCGCCGTCACCTCGAAGCCTTACTTGGTCCCAGTTTCACAGAGAGGAGAACTCAGCACTTCTGCCCCTTCCATGGGCACAATTTCCCATTTTTGGCCTCTTTTGCCCCAGAGGAAAGCGCGCTGTTGGGTTCCACGCCTTCTCTCCCTCCGTATCATGGAGTGCTTTGCGTTTTTTGGGAAGTCGTGACCCCGTGCTGATGACATTTTGGGCTTTGGAGGTATCAGTGGGCTCCGATCAGCAGATTTCCTCTGAGTTGCACAGCTCTGAGCTTTGGAGTCGCTTCATTCCCTCAGGACCCAGCACAGTGAATCTGGAGTCAGTGAAGAACAGTCAGAGCTCAGTTCATGTGATCTGGGTGCAGGTGACGAAACTGGATCTCAGTTCTGTAAATTCTCAGCTCAGTGCTTCAAGCAGGGGCTCAGTTCATCACTTCAGGGCTGCTCTACGAACATTAGTGTCTCAGTTCACTAAAAAGGGTTTGCTGTGCAGATTTGCTCGCTGGGTGAGACCAGGATGCTGGCAGTGCCATCGATCCGAGCAGGGACATCGATGCCATGAGCATCATGACTTCTCACACAGAAATACATGGCCGTGTCCTCAGCCTTCAGATCGTTCAGCTGCAGCCTCAGTGTGCTCTGCCCGTTGTCCCTCGAGATGGTGGCACGGCCATCCACTGCTGCCCCATAGCCTGTCCAACCACCAGTGTCAACAGCAGCCACGTATTCCAGCCCCTTGCCCGGTGCCTGTCGCATCCATCCCAAGCCATGGTCACTGAAGGTGAATCCAGAGCCCTTGCAGACGAGGCTGATCCCTCCTCCGGGTGCCTGGAGGCCACCCCCAGACTCGTCCAACGTCACGGCCACCATCAGCCCTGTGGGGAAGGAAGGACAGACAGCGCTGACGGAGCCGCTGACACACGGCCTCATGAAGAAGGGCCCCATTGAGACTCTTCTCAGACCTCACTGAGACCACAGCGAGACCTCATATTGCTCACGTAGTGAGGCAACTGAGATTCCATAGGCACCTCATCCAGGCCCCATACTGTCCCCATAAAAGCACATTGAGATCTCATGGAGACCCCATTGAAAATTTTTAGGGACACCGCTGAGACCCCACAGAGACTCAGCAGAGATCCAATACAGACCCCATTCAGACCCCATCGAGACCCCATGGAGATCCCATACGGACCTCAGTGCGATTCCAGAAGTGCTGGTGATGGATGCAGTGATGCAGATGCTCATGGTTGTGGTTGTGGTTATGAATGTGGATAAGGATATGAATACTTACATGGGTAAGGGCACGGCATTAGGGATGGTGAGAATAACAGAGCCCGTGCGTGGGTTTCGGCCTCAGTGGGGTTTCAATGGGATCTCTATGGAGTCTCTATGGGGTCTCTATGTGTCTTATGGGGCTTTCAGTGGGTGTCTGTGGTGTCTCATTGGGGCCCTTCTGCACGAGGCCGTGTGTCGGCGGCTCCGTCAGCGCTGTCTGTCCTTCCTTCCCCACAGGGCTGATGGTGGCCGTGACGTTGGACGAGTCTGGGGGCGGCCTCCAGGCACCCGGAGGAGGGATCAGCCTCGTCTGCAAGGGCTCTGGATTCACCTTCAGCAGTTATGCCATGCTCTGGGTGCGCCAGGCACCAGGCAAGGGGCTGGAGTCGGTCGCTGCTATTAGCAATACTGGTAGTAGCACATGGTACGCGCCGGCGGTGAAGGGCCGTGCCACCATCTCGAGGGACAACGGGCAGAGCACAGTGAGGCTGCAGCTGAACAACCTCAGGGCTGAGGACACCGCCACCTACTGCTGTGCAAAATGTGCTGGTAGTGGTAGTGGTTGTGGTTCTACTTACGCTATTGACGTTTTTAGTGCTGTCACCCACAGCCCAGATTGAGAAATCAGAGCCCAAGCGGTGGAGCTGAGAACAGAGTGGACAGAACTCAGCCCAAATCTGCAGCAGTGAGCACACAGTGATGGGACTGATGACAGAAATGTCAGATAGTGTGATTGCTGTGGATTGGGATACGGTGATACGGATGGTCATGGTTATGGTCATGGTTGTGGCTGTGTGTATGGAGATGGAAACGGTGACGGCCACCCCGGACTCGTCCAACGTCATGGCCGCCATCAGCCCTGTGGGGAAGGAAGGACAGACAGCGCTGACGGAGCCGCCGACACACGGCCTCGTGCAGACAGACCACACTGTGACCCTATAGAGACTCATACAGACGCCATTGAGACCCCATGGGAACATTGGAGAGTCTTCACTGACATTCCACAGACACCTCCTATGAAACCCGTGGAAATTTCATAGAGATGCCCTTCAGATCCCACACAAACCCCACTGCTGTCTCACACAGACCCCATAGCGACCCCACTGTCGCCCCTCTGAGAGCAGGGCCCAGCAGAAGGGCTGGCCAAGAAGACGATAAAGGAGGCAGAAGGGCTGGCGTAGATGGGAGAGAAGGAGATCTTGGCTGCCCCCGCAGGTTGGCCCCAGCCTCACTTGAGCTTCAGTGGGGTCCCCATGGGGTCTCTGTGGACAACAATGGATTCCCTATGGGGTCTGGAAGCGACACCACTGGCTTTGTATGGGATCTGGATGTGGTTTTCATGGGATCTCTATGACGTCCCTAAGGGGTGTCTGTGCGTCCTCTACGGGATCACACAGGGATCTCTGTTGGGTCCGTATCGGGTCTCCGTGAGGTCTGTATGGGATGTGAATGGGGTCTCAGTGAGTCCTGTCTGCACGAGGCCGTGTGTCGGCAGCTCCGTCAGTGCTGTCTGTCCTTCCTTCCCCACAGGGCTGATGGCGGCCGTGACGTTGGACGAGTCTGGGGGCGGCCTCCAGACACCCGGAGGAGGGATCAGCCTCGTCTGCAAGGCCTCCGGATTCACCTTCAGCAGTTTTGAGATGTACTGGGTGCGACAGGCACCTGGCAAGGGGCTGGAATTCGTTGCAGGTATTGAGAATGATGGTAGTAACACAGAATATGGGGTGGCAGTGGATGGCCGTGCCACCATCTCGAGGGACAACGGGCAGAGCACAGTGAGGCTGCAGCTGAACAACCTCAGGGCTGAGGACAGCGCCACCTAGAGATGGCTGTGACTGTGCTCCTGGTTGTTGGGGTGTTGCTGCTGGTCACACAGATATCAGAGGGACACGTCTTCATCTGCATCTGGGAAGGTTCCATCTGGGATGCAGAGCTCTGTGCTGGGGGCAAAGAATGTTTTCCCCAACAAAACTGTCTCCATCAACATCACCAACACCATTTCCATATCCTTACAAATATCCATAACCATGACCATGACCATGACCGTCCGCATCACCCAATCCATCTCCACCTCCTTCTCCATCACATTTTTAGGAATTCTTCTC